TATCTGACCCTTTCGGACTTCAAGTGAGAAGAGTTTAATTATATAATTATGTGAAAAGATTAATCTTTGTTTTGGACGAATGAGTGCATTGCATTTTCTTTCCAAAATTCTGAATAGTACCTCAGACATTGAATTTTGTCCTAGAATTGAAGGTATGATGATATGATGAAATATATGATTTAATATGAAAATGTTGAAACGTAATAACTTACAATCATCAGATGTTACATAGTTACTACTGGTAATATAGTCTATTATATATTTCTTATTAACAGCTTCTAAACCACCTAGTGGATTCAAACAATGTATCCTAAAACAGACAAACAATGTATCCTAAAACAGACAAACAATGTATCTTAAAACAGACAAACAATGTATCCTAAAACAGACAAACAATGTATCCTAAAACAGACAAACAATTTATACTAAAACAGACAAACAATGTATACTAAAACAGACAAACAATGTATCCTAAAACAGACAAACAATGTATACTAAAACAGACAAACAATGTATCCTAAAACAGACAAACAATTTATCCAAAATATAACAATACATGTAAAGCAGAACTGACTGGTAAAAGATCAAACCATTTTCCATTTTTTCACTTTTAAAGTTTGTCACTTTTTGTAAATTATATATAAGATTCTTATGGATAACTATTGTTTCCATAGCGATTGTATTAGTAATATAGATTTATTTTATATGAAATAATGAAAGAATGATATATTTTTACTGACCATGATGCAACATGAACTGAAGATGGTTTTAAATATTCACTATCTGAAAAAGAGAAAACAATGTTTTAGTTTTTCAAAAGATTTTTTTTTGTAGGTATTTTTATCATGGGTTTTTTCTTTCCGGGTGAAGACTGATGAAGATGACCATGATAAATAATATTTGTATTGGGTAGACTATAAAATTCATTGAAACAACCATAAATTGACAAATAAAAAACATTGTGTTAAAAATTCAGAAATCATTAAGATTGGACACAAAGAAGTATAATTTGGGACCTGAGCTGTATTGCCATTTATCATAGCTATATTGCCATTTTTATTTATCATAGCTGTATTGCCATTTATCATAGCTGTATTGCCATTTATCATAGCTGTATTGCCATTTATCATAGCTGTATTGCCATTTATCATAGCTGTATTGCCATTTATCATAGCTGTATTGCCATTTATCATAGCTGTATTGCCATTTATCATAGCTGTATTGCCATTTTCATTACTGGTGTCACAAATATGGGCAAACTGACTCCGTGGGGGGGAAACTATCAAGACTGAATCTAAAATAAGTCAACTCCATGGAGGTGTCATAGTCACAAGCCTCTGTATGGATCTTCTCACAAGAAAATTTTTGAAAAATAGAAATGAAGGTGCTTTCTGACACATATTTTAGGGCAAAAATGTATAAAAAAATGTTGAATTTGTTTGTGGAGAGCTTTGCTGTATCACTATGATATATAAAAACATGAGATCTAGATGGAATCTAACCTGAAGGATTGATATTTTTCTGTGCTTTCAGTCGATATTCACCATACCCTTTAGGTATCACAAATGCCAAACTAAAAAA